CGGTTTCTCCAGGGAGAAATACCCTCTGGCGCTGCCATGGGGTCCCCTGCTTTGGGTGGCCATGTCACACCCAAGGGGCAAATGGAGTTAACACAATCTTTTCCCAGCACTCACCTGAGCAAATGACAGCAGCGTCGTTCTCGTGGGAGCACTGTGAAGCCCCCAGGGCAGTCACTGGGCACTGCCCCAGGTGGGCTTCAGTCCCCTCACAGTGGAATGAGTCTTTCCATACAGGTCCGGTTCCTCTCCCAAAATGCCCTCCTCTGGGAATGGACTCAGCAAACCCGCAGCCGAGGTCACGACAGAGAACGTGAGCATCCAAGAGATCCCAGCGAGAGGCACAGAGGGTGCCCCAGGTCCCCTGCACATGGATCTCCACCCTCCCATCACACGCCTTGCTGCCGTTCACCAGCCTGAACCCTGTGAGCTCAGGGACAGAGAAGGATGAGACAGGGCAGACTTGTCCTTTTGCTCCCTTGGAAGGTGGAGGAGGGCTCAAATGGACAGCCTGCCTTTCTCCCCCTTCTGCACCATTGCAGGGCTGCATACAACCACATCACCTCTTCTGTCCTCACACCCAGCACGGCACTGCCCTTCATCCCTTGTCCCCCGCACACCCCCAGTATGTAACACCCCACCCTGAGCCCTTACGTGTGCAGGTGACACCGGCATCATTTGTGTGGTTGCAAGGCTGGTCCCTGGGGGATCCCCTGGGGCAGGAGACGAGATGGGATTCATTCCCCACACACTGCAGCTGTCTGTCCCAGATGGGACCAACCCCTTCTCCAAAGTGAGCTGCCTTGGAGAAGGGAAGGGCTGTGCCGCACTGCAGATCCTGGCAGACCACATCGGCAGCTTTGGGACCAAAGTCTGAGTCACAGACAGTTTTCCACTGGTCCTCATCTCGGATCTCCACACGTCCTGAGCAAGGGCTGTCCCCTCCGACCAGCTGGACAAATCCTGCAGTAACCAAAGACTTCTGTGAGTCCCAGAGTCCTCTGGCAGTTACATGCCCGTGACCCACCTCATCTCCATGGCAGTTGCAGGAAAAGGGCCCCACAAACACCCCGGCAGCTCCCAGTGGGTGCTGGTGGCACAAACACACCAGGGACACCCTGCCACTCTTCAGAAGTCAGCACAACACTGGTGGTCTGGCTCCTCTCCCAAACCCCAAGCCGTAGGCACTGCTCAGACAAACTGCTGCCCTCCTGGAGACCTTGGGCTTCCCGGCACCAGCTGCAGGCACTGTGGCACCCGGAGCTCTTGGGGCCCAGGGAGACTGGCCAGGGCACTGTTAGCTGCTGCAGCCTGCTCTGCCCGCTGAGCTCCAGGCCAGGCTAAGGAGCCCCTTGGACCTGCCAGAAACACCCCTGCCCTGTCCTGGGGTATCTGTTGGTTCCCATCTTTCTCCTCCCACTCACCCAGGACCTTTCTGGTAGCACCATGGTCTCAGGCTGTTGGGACACTGCTGTTAGATGGGACATGTCACAGGGTACAGGGATTGCACAGGGATAGCACAGCTGTATCTGCAGCTGCTGTCTGCGCCAGCCTCCCACCCCAGCCCCTGCTCAGGGAGGGGGTCCTCATCCAGGGCCAGAGTATGCTGCCAGGTGCGCACATCCCCAGCAGGATGTCAGGTGGAGGGCAGGAGAGTGGGCAGAGGAGCAGCCCTGGACTGACACAAGCTCCCAGTACAAGGACAGGCACTGAGGACACTGCAAGCGCTGGCAAAGTCCCTGTGGCATAGGGCGGCCAGGGGCTCGGGCAGGCAGGACGTGCAGATCAGCACTGCCTGCACAGGACCGTGCGCCTGTGGGCTGGCTCTCATGCAATGACCCTGGAAGAGGAATGAGGGGCCACCTGACACGTCTTCCCAACACCTGCACTCCTTCCCTCTCAGCATCCCCTTTGCTTAGGCCAAGAGACTCGTGTCTACCAGGTGTCATAACCCAAAAGTCCTTGGCCCCCTCACTCCCTTCTCAGGGGCTGTGGGTGGCCACGTGAGCTGCTCTGTGCCTCAGGCATGGGGGGACCTGGTCCTCGGTGCTACCAGAAAGGTCCTGGGTGAGTGGGAGGAGAAAGACAGGAACCAACAGACACCCCAGGACAGGGCAGGGGGATTCATCTGAGCCACCGCCGGGTCAGGCAGTGTATGGGTACTCTGGGGTGGGCTTCCACTGGGTTTTCCCCAGGGACCAGGGACACCAGCAATGATAGTCCCAGCTTGGCTGCGTGACAGGCAACCCTGGGCCCTGCTCGGGTGTCTACTCATTGCTCCCTGAGGGCATAGACAGGTCCCTTCCCTCTCCTCAGCCCCAAAGGTGGGGAACGGGCTAGGGCCTCACCTGAACATTTCACTCCAGCATCCTCAATGTGATCACAGTCGTGTTGACCCCATCCACTGTGCATGCAGTCAGACAAGGTGGGCTCGGTGCCATTACAGTCAACCTCATCCATCCAAATGGGGCCGGATCCTGCCCCAAAGTGTCCATACCGAGGAGCTTCAACAGCAGACCCACAGCCCAGCTGCTTACAAACCACTGCAGCATCGTTCATGTCCCAGGAGTCATCACAAATGGTGCCCCACTCGCCCTGGTGTTTCACCTCCACTCTCCCAGCACAACGCCTGCCGCCATCCTCCAGCCTCACCTCTGCAGCCCCTTCAAACACCAACATAGGACCGGTCAGGAGAGTGCCAAGCCCCAGACCATGGGTCTGGGGAAACACCCTGCCCGGGTTGAGTCATGCGCAGCAGGGTGGGAGCCCTCTTCCCTCTTGGCTGTCCCTAGGGCAGTATGTTCCTCCTCTCCCCATGGGCTGCTCAGGGCAGTTGGTCCTGCAGCTGGTGCCCACCTCCAGAGCCTCTGGGCCATCCACCGCCCTCACAGTCCTCAACACCTCCTCCCACCAGAAAGGCCTCTTCCCACGTCCTCCAGCACACTGTTCTCCCAGGCCCAGCACAGGATACCTGCTCCTCCCCAGCTCAGCACCCCTGAACCCCCCCATGTCCCCAGGCCTGCAGCTCTCGCTGTCACTGCCTACCCCAGGACCTCCAAAACCCACCGGCACCCCAGGGCTTTCTACGTCCCCAGGGAGCACCAAAAGAATCCTGAGGATCCCCAATCCACAACCGCTTCTCTCCACTGGCATTAGTGCTGGGGCCCTCAAGAAGTACAGCTCTCTACTGCTGATGCATGCAGATGCCCCAGTCCACTTCTCTCTGGGGGGCACATACTGCCCTCCGGGGGTCAGGGCCCTCTGGAACCAGGGCAGAGGCAAGGGGCAGAACACAAACCCTCAGAGACACCCAGGAGGTTGGTTGTTCCCTGGGGACGCTGAATGCTGTTACCAACAGGGCCACTGCCTTTTCCAGGGACACAGGGCTCAGGAAGAACAAGGGACCCCAAAGGGATCCCCCTGGATGGGCTGTCTATGAATGCAGCCAGGCACGGGCTACCATAAACACAGGAGCCCTGGAAACAGAGATATGCTATCCCACCCGGAAAGGCACAGGGGAAAGAACAAGGTCCATGGACCTGAGCACCTTCTGACCTTCATCTTAGTCACGCCTGGACATAAGCCCCATTCCCAGAGGGATCCCGATGACCCCGCTGGTCCCTACTGGCCCTGATCTGTGGGACAAGGGAACTGGCACTTACCCCTGCACAGCTGCACCCAGAGGAGCAGCCACAGCACCTGAGGAGACACGAGTCCCTCCATTCCCAGCAGGAGCCTCCTGCCCTGCTAGTACAGCCCTGCTGCGCCCCACTGCCTGCCACGGCTCCTGGCGACTCACAGGGATAACGACGACGGGAGGGTGATACATCTCTTCAGATGCTGACCCAGCTGCAGGAGGAACCAATCACAGCAGCAGCACCTTTTTAGACGTTACGGGGAGCTATCTCCCCTTTGACACAGCCCAGCCCTCCAATGAACTTCTCCAGCGCCGTTCATGACCATATATGAGGGATGGCTCTGCTTTGGGTGGCACGGTCCTCTGCGGGGGGGGATCAGCACAGGACAGGCTGGGTGTGAGGGGGGAATGGGTCTGTCACCCTCTGAAACCTGCTGCGGGGACTGGGAGCACTGAGCATCTCCTACCTTGGGCTGATTGAAGAGCCCAAGAGACAAGTGTCCAGCCTCCCCCAAGCCCAAAGCACAGAGCTGGGGCCGTACCAGGGCCTGTGTCAGGATGGGAAGGAAACAACCCCTTCCCCTGCTACAGATCCCACTGTGCAGCTGGCAAAAGGCCTTGGCCAGGGCAAGAGCTCCATCCCCGGAGTGCTGGCTCATCCATCCCTCCCCAGAGAGCCCCACGGTGGGTCCCTTGCAGGAGCCAGAGCTGGGACATGTCCCTGCCCTGGCAGCAGACATGCAGCCCAGGGGCTCAGACGTGTCCCAGGCGATCGGCGTGTCACTGAGGGGCCGTTATTCCCCACGGGCGGATCGGGACCTGCAGCCTGCAGGTGCACAAACCACAGCCCCCGTGGCCTCGCAGCACTCGCCGCGCTCCCCCCGCAGCGCCCAGGCAGGAAGTCTGTGGTTTCCTCCTGGCTCCGTGCCCAGGCACATCCCCACAGAGCCCCCGGGCTGCCCCCAGCCCGACTGCTCCAGCTGCAGGGACTGCTCCTTCAGCCTCACAGACATGGGACCAGGCAGCTCCTGCCCCTCGTGACGCCCCTCTGATGCACACGGACACTCTGCACCGACCCCAGAGCCACGAGGTGCCATCGGTGATGTGACTTCACACCACCCCACTGCTGCCCCCGAGTGGTCATGAGTTACGTGTGCGTGTGCTGTGTATGGGCTTCTGCCGAAGACGGTTCTTCCAAAAAGCCATATTTTGGTGGCGTTTCAATATTATGGTGATGACATCAGAAGCACCGACACAAGCCCTATGCCTGTTCTTTGCCTAAAAGCATCTGCAGCACCAGGGAAATCAAGCTCATACACGAGCCATGTGCATACTCCTGGTCTATGTGCCACTCAGACACAGGTGATGTCATAGCATCGACACCTGCCACGTGCCTGCTCCTGGCCTGTTAGGCATTCAGGCACCACTGACATCACAAGGACATTCACAAGCCATGTGCCAGCCCTGGCCTGTCATCTAGTCAGGCACCAGTAGCTTCACATGAACCTACACAATCCATAAGCAAGCTCCTGGCCTTTAACTACTCAGCCATGAGTGACTTCATAAGACCTGCACAACCTATGGGCCTTCTCCTAGCTTATGAAGTATTCAGGTACTAAGGACCTTACAAATACCTGCACAAACCTTTGGCCTTCGCCTGGCCTATCAGCTACTCGGGAACTTGTAACCTTACAACCTCCCACACAGACCATCTACCTGTACTTGCCTAGACACAGCCTAATAATTGACTGTCTTGGCTTAGCCCCAGCTGGCAACTAAGC